GATATCTAGGGTCTTCAAACCCGGGAGGTTGATCAACATAGATTAGTTCATTAATAAAGCCATTTAAAAATGCACTTTTCACATCCATTTGATATAATTTCATTTCATGATGCGATGCATATGCAAGGAGGATACGAATGGCTTCTAGCCTTGCAACCGGTGCAAAGGTCTCTCCAAAATCCAAACCTTCAACTTGAGAGAACCCCTTTGCAACTAGTCTTGCCTTCTTCCTCACAACAACACCTTGATCATCTTGCTTGTTTTAGAACACCCACTTTGTTCCAATGACTCTTGCACCTTTTGGTCGCTCTTCAAGAGTCCAAACTTCATTGCGGGTGAAGTTGTTCAACTCTTCATGCATGGCATTTATCCAATCCGGATCTTGAAGAGCTTCTTCTACCTTGGTAGGCTCAAAACAAGAGACAAAAGAGTGATGAGCAATAAATGAAGCAAGTTTTTGTGAGCATGTCATCACTCCCTTTGATGGACTCCCTATGATGAGATCTTGTGGATGATCTTGTAGTAGAGGTGTGTTTCTTCTATTGACCACTTGAGGAGGAGGTTGTGGAGCATCAACATCTTGTGCTTGTACCACCATTTGCTCATGGGAGATACTCAGACTTCAGGAGCAGCCTGTCAGACTTCATGAGGTATGCTATAGACAGACAGAGCCCCCTAGACGCCCTCATGGCGGTAATGTGCCCCCTACAGATCTTGTCACACTTTGCTACTCTTGGTCTCACTAATGAGGGCTCTCTTTGGGATTCTCAAATCTCAATCACCTCACTAGGACCTTGCTCTTCTTGGCACTCTCTAAGGTGTGTTTCAGCTGTTGGAATGAGCAAAAGTGACTCCACACACGAGTGGAGCTTCTATTTATAACAAGAGCTGAAAAACGAACCGTTATGTGCCTCTGCGGGGTGACCGGATGCTCCGGTCATGTTGACCGGACGCTCCGGTCAGTACTCCCCGAAAACCAGTGATTACACGTCCGGTCACGATTTTCCCTCTCTGGAACCTTACTGGAAACGACCGGACGCTGGCCCCAGCGTCCGGTCACATGACCTTCCAGCGTCCGGTCGCACCGAACAATTTCACCTCGGTCAAATGAACTGACCAGACTCTGTGCCAGCGTCCGGTCACACCGAACCCAGCGTCCGGTCAGCATTTGACCCTCCATTCACTTCCAACTCTCGATCATAGGTGAATGAAGTTTGCTTCAATGGATCTTAGGCATATGTAGGAGCTACCTAGCGCTAGTTTTAACAAGTGTGCACCACACCTAACTCACTAGACTCACCTAGGTCAAGCTACCCATTCATACCCCCCTTAATAGTACGGCCAAAGGAAAAACAAAGTCCTAAACTACTCTAAGTGTCTCTCCAACTCCAATCGACACTTAGAACTAGTCATCCTTAACCTTGTCGTCCATCCTTTGAAAACCGAAACGATTTCCATCGTAGGGGCATGACCACCATGATTGCCCAATCGATCTCCATTACCATGACCTAACTTAATTGCCTCTGCAAAGCATACGTTAGTCACAGTAATCTTGTATTGTCATTAATCACTGAAACCCAACTAGGGGCCTAGATGCTTTCAGCTACTTTCTACGAGGGCACCGGACATGTCGGTGTGGCACCGGACATGGGGTGGCGGTGCCCCTCCAACGGTCATCCACACTAGCCTTTGGGGCACCGGATAGGGTGGCGGTGGCACCGCCCTAGGAGTGGCGGTGACCACCCGGCCAACCCTCCGAAAACCCAAACCTCTGGAAAAAGCGGCGGTGCACCGCCCTAGGGTGGCGGTGACCGTGGTGGTGCCCGACCCCGTTTACCCCAGTCTCTGGATAATTATGGCGGTGGCACCACCCCACCAATGGAGGTGACCAGGCGGTGCACCGCCCTTGTCGTGGCGGTGAACACCGGACACTCTGGTGCCGCCCTCTCTTCTGCTGCTTCTCAGCCGGGGTCAGGTGGGCACCGCCCTATTGGTGGCGGTGCCACCGGACAGGGTGGCGGTGCCAGCCAACTTCTCCTCCTTGGCCTTGCCCAGCCGATCACCGCCCAAGGGGTGGCGGTGCACCGGACAAGGGGTGGCGGTGCCCCAGAGGCAGCACCTCATCCCCTTCTTCACCTCCTTTGCTTCCTTTGCAAATGTGCCAACACCACAAGTGTTTCACCATCACGTGCAAGTGTGTTAGCATTTTCTCAATCATTTTTCAAAGGTTAATCACTTTCTCACAGAATGTGCACTAGGCCTAAAATGCAATGCGAGTATTCCAACACCTAGTGGCACTAGATGATCGAGTTGTCCGATAAGAGTTCCCCTCTTAATAGTACAACCATCTATCCTAAATGTGATCACACTCTCTATAGTGTCTCGATCACCGAAAACAAAATGGTCCTATAGATATCACCTTTGCCTTGAGCCCATTTTGTTTTTCTCTTTCTTCTTTTCCAAGGTCCGGAGCTTGATCACCATCATCACATGTCCACACCACTATCATGGACTTCATTTCTTGTCGCCATCTCCACCATGAGTGCCACCTAGTTCCTTCACTTGGATTGGACTATCCTATCTAGTCACACACTTAGATGCAAGGATTAGTCCAAATATGTTTCATCAATTATCAAAATCAAACTAGAGCTTTCAAAATCTTAGCATTTGGTGTGCTTATCAGCAGGAGCAGTTAGTTGGCTTTTCGATGCAGTGATCTCAACCTCTTCTTTTGGTTTGTCCTACGACAAGGTCTGACATCTTCAACACACTATTCTGATGGTGAAGGATTGTAAGCCTGTATTCCTTGAAAGTTTCCTCCAACCAATGTTCTTTCAGTGGATCTTAGATCTTGTTGTCAGCAGCAAGTGAGTCTTTCATTCTTCAAAGCCTTGTTTGGCGAGGGTATTTGCAGGTGTTCCTTTTCTTTGTTGTCTTCACAGTGAGATCTTCAAACTCCAATGGACAGTGGACATCGAAGGAAGAAGACCAATTTGGTCATTAATACTCTTATTTTTAGAGATCGTTTTGTGTCTATTTATCCATCGTTTGTCTTTGCTTTTCTTGAGATATATCAGATGTGACGCTCTTTTGAGTGTATAATTATAAAAAAAACTTAGACAGCAAATAGCTTGACGTCGAGATGTGGTTGCAGCCAAGAGAAGAAAAGGAGGAAGAGAAAAAAAGTGTAGTAGGATAAATATTAGCCACTAATGCATGATGGGTCCCACATGTCAGGGGAGGCAAAGGGGGTGTGATTTTCCCCTATTGCAATTCGGAATTGCTAGCGCCCGGACGTCCGTTCGGGGCGTCCGGACGCTGCCACGCAGAGGGAGCAAACGAGCGTATAGCGCATCGGGCTTGCGAGGGAGCGCACTAGCAGTGGGCCCACGCCGCCCCTAACGTCGCCCACACCGCCCCGAACGTCGTCCGCGTCGCTAGGGATCTTCCCACGCGCATCCCATGTACAACACCCGATCTCTTTTTGAAACATCCAGATGCAACAATTGCAACATACAAAAGAAGACAAATAAAACACTTGAAACAAGCGTATGAAACACTTGCGAAAACACCTGAAAAACATTTGAAAACCATTGCAAACATGTGCAATATCCAGATGAAACACTCGCAAACATACGTATGAAACACCTTAAAACACTTGAAACATATGTTTGCAACATGTATGTATATGTAACATCCAGATAAAACACTTGCAACATTCATCTGAAATAAATGAAACATTTGAAACATACAATTAAAACATACGTGTATAGCCATTAGAACATGTGCATCATCCCAATCTACTTTTGCAACATAGATATACAACAATTACAACATACCTCTAAAACATATGAAACACTTGAAACATATTATTGCAGCATGCACTTTTAACGTATCATCTGCTTGCTGATTGGATAAATGGAGGCTCGTCAACGCGAAGCTCGACGCCAGCGCGGAGCTCAATGCTGCAGAGTGGCACGGAGGTCGCTAGTGTGGAGCTCATTGATGGCACAGACCTCGACAGGGGCACAGGCAGACGGATGGAGAACGGCGCGAGTCCGAGCGGGGGCACACGGCGCGGACAGGCGAGGCCGCGCGGCGCGAGCGGGGGCAGCACAGCCAAGGGCAAGGTCTATCCTGGAGCTAAGGCGCGTTGAGCAGGCGGCACGGGCGGGGGCGGGGGCGGCGCAGGCGAGGCACAAAGCGAGCGGGCAACTTATATGGGGTCCGTCCGGACAACCTATAAACAGCGTTACCGATTGCAATTTGCAACTTTCTGAAGAAAGAAGATGTTCAATCTAATGAGAAGCAGTTGCAAATCTCACCAACAAGCGCGTGCACAGTGGTCCCTCCCAAAAAAAAAATTTGGCAACTTTTTTCTTACGCGACTTCATATTTTTGGAAGTTTTCTGGATAACTTATCCACATGACTTTATCATGACAAAACTTTCTGAATTTTTAGAAGAATTTTTCAAAATAACAAATATTCAGAAAACTTGTTCTAATAAGTTTATCATGAAAACTGATTCAACTAAATAACTCTGTCCCACGCATGCAGAAAAAGGAAGGCCAGCAAGGACAACTGTGCACCGCGGGAAAGGCGTCCAGGCGGACCCCAAGTCCTCAACGACGCCCTAACACCTCAAAAACCATGAATTAAACAGACAAAACACAGGGAGGAAGAAAAAGCTCAACAGGTACACAAAACTCCCTCAGGAATCAAGAGTAAGGATTCGGGAATAGTATAGTATCATTTTTGTCCGTGTGAACATCCGTGGGAAAGACCGACTATGATTGCATCTTTTCTGCTTACTTGGCCAATACAAAAAATTTCACACACAAACAAATTATGAATGAACTAAGCTTAATGTATGTGGTCTTACTGCAGTCACGAGAAGGGTAAGAAAAAAAATAGCATCTCTAGCTGCAATGGATTCACACAAAGGCATAATAGCAGTGCTGTTAGTGGTTAGCAGTGCAACTCAAGAAGCAAAGCAACATCAGCTGTAGTAGATTGATGCTAAACAAATTAACAAGTCTGTGAGAAGAAGGCCAATTGCATTGAATACGTACTTTGGAGCAAACAAACCCCAAACCTGCAAATTTACCCAATAAACAGTGTGTCACATCGAATGCTTGATAACAACTAAACAAAGCAGAAATACTAAGGTAATTTGTTCCGTAAGGCAGGAGCAGCAGTTACCATTAAGTGACGCCTTTGAATAGCAACGCATATGATTGTTAGCGTAGCAGTGATTGCTGTTATAAGAACATACATCAAGAGCACCTAAGTTTGACAAAGAAATATTAGGTGTGATGTGAATTAGTGAGCAAAGAACCAGTCGAGCAAAGTTCCATGGATGCATGAATATGCTACTGTATTAGTGGCCTCCAGCATAACTTTTTGGCATAATTGTTCAGTAATTTGAATTTGGCATCAATGTGCACATTTGGGGACATGGGGAACATCCCTTGCCTGGCTAAGGAGGGCTTGTGATCACTAACAGTTCTAGTAGCTACGAGCTGTGGAAAGAAAGGAACACGAGGATTTTTATTTTATTTTTTTTACCGCATGGGTTGCCCAGACTTTGTGTTGCTCCAAAAAATCAAAGATGAGGCATCCCTCTGGATTGTGGCGGGGTCCAAGCATCTGGCCAAACTTGTAGCAAGGATATGTGCACTGTGTTTGTGTCCTTTTTCTGATGCAGTTTTTGCGCTTTTCTGAGCTTTTGCTCGACAGGTAAAGCTAACTTTGTAAAGCCTCCTCTGGGCTACTACTACTACTACCTTTTAATACAACGGGCAGATCTCCTGCCAGTTCTTTCAAAAAAAAAAGGGACATGGAATATGTACTTGCTTATTGAACTTATTGCCAAACCTCTCAAGAGCATACAAAATTATTTTCTTTATTGCACGAGAAGGTTACCATATTTAGTACCTTATTAATATTGTTGAGAATGACGTCCTTCAGTTCGTTGTCCTTGGATGTGGTATTGTACCACACTATGGCAATAAATGGAAGGCTTAGAATTGGCAGGATATGAGAAACACAAAAGGTGTCAATGGAAAGTAGAAAGCCTTGTCGAATGATATGGAAATGATCAAAACTGCATATTGAAGCATTATAGCAACATCAGCGCATGTAATGAAAGGAAATTTGTTTTTGCAGTCTCAGTCTTATAAGAAACACACTTACCCAATGAAAGCTGCACCATATCGGAGGCCATCAAATGTACACCTGAAATTCACTTATAAATTAGCAATGATGAATTGCTAGCCATCCCATTGAGATCAGTTAAACTAGAAGCTACCACCAATGCGCATATTAGTATAGACAATAATGCTAGAACACTATACATCAATGAACAAAATGTGTTATAGGTACATCAAGTACTCTAGTGTTTCTGAGGTAACATAGTATGCATATAAACGTTTGCTTCATAGAAAAAGGTAAATAACTGGAAGCAGCATGAAACTTACCAGTGACCTGTCAGATAAAATAGACAAACTGCAAGAAGGCTCCACTGAATCACTGAAACAGGGTCAGCAACAGAGAGTTCTGACTCTCTCTGATGTTTCTGTTGCAATTTTACGATACACCAAGCTACAAAACAAAGATGGCAACAGAAAACCTAGTGGCCAGAAAATTTGCACAGTACCTTCATCATGCAAATCTATATTTTTCATTGGCAATCAAGTGATTTCCACATTACCTCCTGTCATGCAAATTAATGCCACAAACAGACCTTGCCTTCCCAACAGGATCAAAATAGTTGGACTCCAAGAACAAAGCATGACAGCCGATAAAATAATTATCCTTTTGTTCATCTTCAAATGAACAGTTGGACCAAATATCCAAGAAAATGCAGAAATGGCTAGTGATAGACCTCCGATAGCGTAAACAATGCGAGGAGCTAAACTTCTTCCAAATTCTTGAACAGTCCCAGCATGAGAAAACAAAGTAGTCTCTGAAGCCCAATGAAACGCTATAGATAAATAACTCACCATCGTTCCACACAAAAGAAAGTACTTCAAGAACCTCTGACAGATTGCACGGGATAGGCACTTCAACATAATATAAGCCACAAAGGCTAGAGATATGATGGGGAATAGCTCCAAGAGGATGTTGCAAGAATTAACACCAAGGATTTTACAAAAGACGCTCACAGGGTGATCCTTTGTAATTGTTGGCGCAGGCAATTGTTTTGACATCCCAACCTCAATTCCAAACCGTGTGAAAATATTTAAAAGAAGAAAAACTAAGTTCTGCAAATCAATAGAGTGAAGGATGTCAGAAGATGATCGCACCAAAGAATAATTGAAATAAAGAATTTATGTCCAGGAATACTTCTATGCTGATGTTCCCTTTCAGCACCGAGTGCCACACACTGGTGTATCAACTTGTGGCCAAAAGAAAATTTGCAACTCTACCTTCTGCCACTGTGTAAAAGAAAAAAAATAAACTATGAACAGATATATATAAATTGAAGTATGTATGGTAAGACTGATTCATCTGACAACACTCACATATATAGCTGTTCGATAAGAAACTAGCTGCTCGAATCACGACTAAAGCAAAAGCAAGGGAAAATATAGGAATGATTCTTGAACCAGAACTTTTCTGATCTGAAGATTGGCTTATGGTGTTCATATTTACAAGCGTGGATGCCTGAATGATAACTGATAATATCATAAGTAAAAGACCAACGCCCATTGACCATAAATCAAGTTCTGTCCAAGCAGAGCGAGCGAGCTTTGCAAAACTCTGCAAGAAGTCATTGTATGCATCAATTTGCTGCAGCAGAACTGAACCTTTCCCCTCTACTTTTTCTTGACTACCTGTCTCTGATGAACTAGTTATCAGAGAAGCTGACCAATTTTCCTGAGCTCTTGAATATAGGTCTGTGATATGTTGCAGGTCTTCTAATGGAAATCCAATAACGGAAGTAGCAGAATATTGATCAATATATCTCTTTACCTACAAAGGAAGATGGGTATCAAGATTAGAAAACCACAAACCTATATGAACTAAACAAGGGAAGTTGAAGGGAACTAGAATGCAGCTTCATACTACCTGCCAGCAATTTACACATAGAACTTCAGCATATCTCCCCATCCATGCTTCTAGATCATCCTGTGAGGTACAAGCATTGGTACCCATCCTTTGATTTACCCATGTCACAGTACTCAAGGCATACAATTCTGGGTTTACGCGGCCAATGCTATTTAAGAAACAGGAGACCCGTTTAGCAACTAGTGGATCAAGATAAATAATAAGCAAAGGATGATGAAACAACAACAACACCCAGAAAAAGAAAAGGCAGACAACCAAGAATACATAGCAGCTTACAATTGTAGAAAGATGAAGTTGGGGGCAATTAGCCACACTCTCAATGGGAGAGGGGCGCCTGTATTATAGGGCAGCGGCTGCTGCTATATATGGCAGTTTACAAATACAAGGACACGAATAAATCTCGGCAGGTCTGATCCTAATTGACCGCCTTGCCTAAATATACAATATACAATCTCCTATTGCGTAATACCCGCCCGCAGCCGAAGCGGGACGCTTGCAGACGCACAGGCTGGTTCTGAAATCTGTAAACAGTGGCGTTGGGAGCCCTTTCGTCATAATGTCAGCGAACTGATGAGACGAAGGAACATGAAGGACCCGAATCTCGCCAAGGGCCACCTTCTCGCGCACAAAGTGAATGTCAATCTCAATATGCTTCGTGCGCTTGTGGTGGACCGAATTGGCCGTCATGTAGACGGCGCTAACGTTGTCGCAGAAGACCACCGTAGCCTGGGGCAGCTGAAGATGGAGCTCCTGAAGGAGTTGCCGCAGCGAATAGCACTCGGCCACAACGTGAGCCACAGCACGGTATTCTGCCTCAGCACTAGAGCGGGAGACCGTGGTCTAGCGTTTGGAGGACCAGGAGACCAGGTTGTCGCCGAGATAGACGCAGAAGCCAGAAGTGGACCGCCTGGAGTCAGGGCAACCAGCCCAGTCAGCATCAGAGTATGCGGTCAGCGTCTGGATGGACCCGGCGCCAATGTGAAGACCGGAGGATAGCGTGCCCTTCACATAGCGCAGAATGCGCTTGATCAGCGCACGGTGGGGCTCCCTCGGGGCGTGCATGAAGAGACACACCTGTTGAACTGCATAAGCCAGATCAGGACGCGTCAGAGTCAGGTACTGAAGAGCCCCTGCTATGCTCCTGTACTCTGAGCTGTCCTTGTCTGACAGTTTGTTGCCTTCATGGGCGGAGAGCTTGGCCTGAGTGTCAACAGGGGTTGCCGTAGGATGACACACTCGCCATGCCTCGCCTACCCATTGGAGGAGATTGATGACGTCTCGTCATTGCAGACGAGAACAGCCGTCGAGAGGTCGTGTGTGGCGACGCCGAGGAAGTGGTGAAGAGCACCCAAGTCGGTCATGGCGAACTCGCATTTGAGTCGGGCCATGAGTCGCTGCAGAAGAGCGGGAGCCGAGGCGGTGAGGATGATGTCGTCGACGTAGAGCAGCAAGTAGGCGAGACTCGTCCCCTCGGTGAGAACAAAGAGGGGCGATGTCGGGAGGTGGAGGTGTGGCCGAATTTGTTGAAGGAAGGCCATGAACCGCTGGTACCAAGCGCAGGGGCTCGCTTCGATCCGTCTGAGGACTTCTGCAGGAGGCAGACGTGATCTGCAGCGGCGGGGTCGACGAAACCTAGTGGCTGCTGGCAGTAGACCGTCTCGTCGAGGTGGCCGTGAAGAAAGACATTCTTCACATCCAGCTGGTGGATCGGTCAGGCGCGGGAGACGGCAATGCCGAAGAACGTCCGAATGGTGGCTGTTTGACCACCGGATTGAAGGTCTCGTCGTAGTCAATGCCTTCTCATTGAGAAAACCCGCGGACCACCCAGCGGTAGGCCTTGTGGAATGAGCGAGGACCCATCGACATGGAATTTGTGCGGAAAATCCACTTGCCCGTCACAGCGTTCGCGCCGAGAGGGCCGCGGAACAAGACGCCAGTGTCGTTGTCGACGAGTGCACGGTACTCACCATCATCGCAGCCCGCCCGGATTGGCATCGGCCGTAGCGCTACTGATGAGTTCGCGGTAGAGAGGCGATGGTGAGGGCGAGGAGGTGGCAGCGAGCCCCTCGTAGCTCACACGCGGGAGGGCACCGGTCCTGGTGCGCATGAGCGGCGGAGATGGGGTTGCGACCCGCGGATTCAACTGGGCGCCGGTCTTCTGAGAGGCGACCCGATGGCGCGCGAACCACCGGGTGGGTCGTCGATCGAGGTCCGTGGGAGCGAGCCACAGGAAGGCCAGGCGGGGGCACGTGACCACACCCGCCCGGTGGTGTAGAAGCCGAATTGGGGCTAGGGAGCACAGGGCCGCGCCCCCCAGGCAGGAGAAGAGCCGGGTCCGGCTCATCATCGGGCGGTACTGGCGCCCAAGGTGGACTGAGCAACCGTGGTCGTTGAGGAGGACCTCCACCTGCGAGAACGAGTGAGAGCAAGGCACCGAAACCGAATCGTTGTCTAGAAGGAAATCCAGGGAGCGAGGGAATGGGATGACGCTGGTGGTGGAAAAGGGAAAAACAGTCTCATCGAACACAACATGATGAGAAATAATAATGCGTTGAGTTGTCAGGTTAAGACACCGATAACCCTTATGAGAGGATGGATACCCAAGGAAAATGCATGCCGCGGAGCGAGGTGCGAGCTTATGTGGGGAGGTGGCCTGTAGGTTTGGGTAGCATAGGCACCCAAATACGCGAAGGTGGTTGTAGGTGGGTGGCTGTCCATGGAGGTGAGTGAAGGGAACCTCATGGGATATGGAGGAAGGGCGCCTGTTGAGTAAGTAGCAAGCGGCAGCAAGAGCCTCAGCCCAGTACGCAGGCGGCATGGAAGCGTGGAGCAGCATGGTGCGAATTGAGTTGTTGAGGGTGCGGATGGTGCGTTCCGCCTTGCCATTTTGAGGGGAAGTGTATGGGCAGGAGAGACGGAGAAGTGTTCCCCGGCAGCGAAAGAAGGTGGTGGTGGGTGTGTGTTGTGAATTCGGTGCCATTGTCGGTTTGGAAGCAATTTCTGAGGAGGTTAAATTGGGTTTGTGCAAGAGCTGTGAGCTCAACTAAGTGTTGGTGGACCTCGGATTTGCGTCGGAGAGGAAAAACCCAACAATAGTGACTGCAATCATCCAACAGACTAAATAGTATGAAAAACCAGATATACTAGGGATGGGAGAGGTCCAAACATCACAATGAATTAGTTCAAACGGTGCATGAGTACAAGACTGAGAGGCACTGAAGGGTAGACGCGTATGCTTGCCTAGCTGACATGAATGGCAAAGGGAGCGGTCTACTTTATTACAGGAAACAGCGTGTATTTTATTTAAATGTTCTAATGCGGCGAGGGGTGGATGGCGAGAGCACGCCCTGGTGCCACGAGAGGTCGACAAACAGACCCGAGGAGAGCATGTGAGGCGCATGATCGATCGGAGGATAGCGGGTATGGTGTAGAGATCACCGATACTATTGCAGCGATGAATCACGCGTCCCGTCTGGATATCCTTAACAGAAAAACCAAGAGCGTCAAATTCAAGAGAGCAGCGATTTTCATGGGTGAATTGACGAACGGATAAAAGATTACGAACGAGGGAAGGGGCGACGAGAATGTTATTGAGGGAGAAGTTTGCTGTGGCGGTGGGTAGGATGGAGTGACCTCTAGACGTGACCGGAATGCTAGTGCCATTGCCAACTGTTATAGAGGGGGTGGAGGGGGGTAGGCGCTGGAGGAGCATACCATCGGAAGACGTCATGTGGGATGAAGCGCCGGAGTCAACAACCCATGAGGGGCTGCCCTGGACAGCCAGGTGCTGCAGGGCAGCAATGAGGCCGGCCGAGTCCCATGTCGGTCCACCAGTGTTGGTGGAGGAAGCATGGACGGGGGCGAACGCCGTGTGCGCCTGAGGAGGGGCACCGAGCACCCCCTGTTGGCGTGGGGGCTGCCATGGGTGGCTGCCAGGGGCGCCGGAACTGCCCTGGTCGCGCTCCCAGGGAGGTATGACGCGCTCGCCGGGGTTGACACGTGCACCAGTCCAAGGATCAAAACCCCAGGGCTGACGCTTGCTGTCACGCCGAGTGTTGTCGCGGCGGCGGCCGTTGCCGTGCTGCTGCTGCTGCTGCTGCTGGCGCGGCTGCTGCCGCTAGCGCGACTGCTGCTGCTGGACTCCGGCCGGTGGGGCGCCACCAGGGGCGCCGTTGAAGGCAGCGAGAAGGGCCGAAGCGGCGCGGACCTTGTCCTCGTTCTTGAGACGCAGCTCCTTGAGGAGTTGGTTCCTGGCAACAGCAAAAGTGAGAGGTTCCTGGGCAGCGATGTTGTCGGCGATGGATTGGTACTTCTCGTTGAGGCCGCGGAGCAGGTTGAGGACAAGAATGGGCTCGGTGATGGTCTGCCCGACGTCGCGAAGATTGTCGGCAGCCTCCTTCATGCGCACGCAGTACTCGTCGATGGAGGAGTCGCCCTGGGTCATCGAGTGGAACTCGTGACTCAGGAAGACGGCGCGGGGCGCCTTGTTAGCTTGGTACAGGTCGGCGATGGCCGTCCAGAGCTGGCCGGCGGTCTGCTGGGCGCCGGTCATAGCGAGGTTGAGGACGGAGTCGGAGACGGTGCCGAAGATCCAACTGCGGATGCAAAAGTCAGCCTGCACCCATACGTCATCGGTGGGCGTAGGGGAGACGACGTCAAGGTGCGAGAGCAGCCCGAATTTGCCACACATGGCGTGGAAAGCTGTGGACCACTTGGTGTAGTTGGAGGGTCGCAGCTCGAGGGTCATGGGGATGTGGGTCTTCACATTTACCAAAGCATATGGGCAAACGGCTAGGTTGATGGCGTCAGCCATGGCTGGAGAGGTGGCGGAGGTGGTGGAGGATTCTGTGGACATGATGGCGCGGCTGTTGGGCGGCGCAGCAAGGTTGGGCGGCACTCAGGGAGAGAGCGGCGCAGGTTTGGGGGAGGAGAGGGAGGGCCAAGATCAGATTGCTCTGATTACCATGTAGAAAGATGAAGTTGGGGGCAATTAGCCACACTCAATGGGAGAGGGGCGCCTGTATTATAGGGCAGCGACTGCTGCTATATATGGCAGTTTACAAATACAAGGACAGGAAAAAATCTCGGCAGGTCTGATCCTAATTGACCGCCTTGCCTAAATATACAATATACAATCTCCTATTGCCT